CTCGCCTGCCCAGGTGGGTCTTGAACTCACGGGCTCAGGCAATCCACTCACCTCAGCCTCCCAAAGGCATGGGATTACAGGCTGAGCTACCGAGCCCAGCTTACTGTGAAATTTTAAGGGTTCTTTATATATTGTAAATGCCAGTACTTTATTAGATATGCAGATTGCAAATATTTTCTCCCACTCCACACCTTATTATTCACTTTTTCCAACAGGGCCTATTACAGACCTAAAGTTTTTAATTTTGATGAAGTCAAACTGATCAATTTTGTTTCCTTTTTGCTTATTTATATATATATATATAAATAAGCAAAAATATATATTTTTTTATATATATATATTTATATATATATATATATATATTTTTTTTTTTTTTTTTTTTTCCCTGAGTCAGAATCTCACTCTGTAACCCAGGCTGGAGTTCAGTAGCATGATCACAGCAATCACACCTCACAGCAGCCTTGACTTCCTAGGCTCAGGTGATTCTTGAATCTTCTAATCCATGAACATGGTATGTCTCTCCATTTAATTAGATCTTTGATTTCTTTCATCAACAATGTGTAATTTTTTGTTTTGTTTCCTTTAGAGACAGGTCTTACTATGTTGCCCAGATTGGTCTCAAATTCTTGGGCTCAAGGGATCCTCCCACCTCAGTCTTCAGAGTTGCTAGGACTATAGGCATGTGCTATTGTGCTTGGCCCCTTGTGTGGTTTTAAGCATATATGTGTTAGAATTACAGCTATGTATTTCTTCTATTTGTGTATGTGTAGATTCCTTGGAATTTTCTATTTACATAATCATGTCATATGCAAATAGGGGTAACTTTATATTTTCCTTTCCAATCTATATGCCTTTTTGTACCTCTTTTTGCCTTATTGTACTGGCTACAAGTCCTAGTACTATGTTAAATATGAGTGATAAGAGTGCACATACTTGCCTTGTTCCCAAGCTTAGGGGTAAAACATTCTGTCTTTCATCATTAAGTATAATGTTAGCTGTAGATTTTCATAAATGCTCTTTATCAAGTTGAGGCAGTTTCCCTCCATTCCTGTCTTTGGGGGGGGGAATCATTTTTATCATAAAAGGATGTTAAATTTTGTCAAATGCTTTTTCTGCATTGATTTATATATCATACCATTTTTTTCTTTATCCTTTTAATATGATGGATCATATTGATTGACCTTTTTTTTTTTTTGAGTCAAAATCTCACTCTGTTGTCCAAGCTGAAGTACAGTGGCAAAATCACAGCTCCCAGAAGCCTCAGTCTCCTGGGCTCAGCAATCCTTCTGCCTCAGGCTTCCAAGTAACTGGGACTACAGGTACACACCACCACACCTGGCTACTTTTTTTATTTGTTATAGAGATGAAGTCTCACCATTTTGTCCAGGCTGATCTCGAGCTCCAGCGCTCAAGCAATCCTCCTGCCTTTCTCTCCCAAAGTGCTGAGATTGCAGGCATGAACTACACTCAGCTTTGACTGACTTTCAAATACTGAACCAGTCATGCATCCCTATGTAAAAAACCATTTGCTTATGGTGAATTAAGTCTTTGTATACAAGGCCAGGCATGATGATTCATGCCTGTAATTTCAGCACTTTGGGAGGCCAAGGCAGGAGGATTGCTTGAGCCCAGGAGTTCCCCACCAGCGTGGGCAACATAGCAAGATCTCATCTCTGTAAAAAAATCAAAAAATTAGCCAGACATGGTGACATGCACCTGTAGTCCCAGCTACTAGGGAGGCTAAGGAGGGAGGATTGCTTGAGCACAGGAGGTTGAACCTATGGTGAGCCGTGATTGTGCCACTGCACTCCAGCCTGGGGCCTGGGCTACAGAGCGACACTCCTACTTTAAAAAAAAAAATTGATGCATTTTTATTAACTAAAGATTGTAGTTTACATTAGGGTTCACTCTGTGTTTTTGTTTTTGTTTTGACAGATTCTCACTCTGTCGCCCAGGCTGGAGTACAATGGCACACTCACAGCCACCGCAGCCTCGACCTACTGAGCTCAAGTCACCCCTCTGCCTCAGCCTTCCAAGTAGCTGGAACCACAGACATGTCCCATCATGCCCGGCTAATTTTTTTATTTATTATAGAGATGAGGTCTCGCCATGTTGCTCAGACTTGTCTCAAACCCCTGGGATTACAGGCTTGAGCCACCATGCCTGGCCTCACTTTGTGTTTTACAGTCCTGTGGGTCTTGACAAAAGTATAATATCATGTATCTACAATTATAGTACTATACAGAATAGTTTCACTGTTCTAAAAATCTTCTATATTCCACCTATTCTTCTCTCCCTTCTTTCTTCCCCCAAGCTTCCGGCAGCCACCAGTCCTTTTACTGTCTCTATAGTTTTACCTTTTCCAGATTATCATATAGTTGGAATCCTACAGTATGTAGCCTTTTCAGGCCGGCCCCTTTTACTTAGCAATATACACTTAAAGTTCACCTATGTCTTTTTATGGCTTAATAGTTCAGGTTTTCTCATTGTTAATTGATATTTCATTGTAGGGACGTACCAAAGTTTGTTTATCCATTCTTCCAATGAGGGACATCTTGGTTGTTTCCAGGATTTTGCAATTATAAATAAAGCGGCTGTCAACATTTGTGTTTATTGAAAACATAAGGTTTTCAATTCACATGGGTAAATACCAATAACCATGATTGCTGTATTATATAAGACCAAGTTTAGTTTTGTAAGAATATGCCAAACTGACTTCCAAAATGCCTGTACGATTTCTATTCCCACCAGCAATGAATGAGGGTTCACGATGTTCCACATTTTCACCAGTATTTGATGTTGTCTGTGTTCTGGATTTTATCCATTCTAAAATTATGGTATCTCATTGTTTTGTTTT